GGCCTGTTCTAGTTTGGGAACGGCCCGTTCTGGGCTACTAAAACACCCTTAATAAATTTTATGAAAATTACTAAATCACCCTCAATAAAAAGTATGAAACATAGGGTGTTACAATTCTCCCCCCTTTTAGAAATTTCGTCCCTGAAATTTACCGCATGCCGCATATGCCTTTATGGATTTCGTTGATGACGTAACTTGCCTAAGACTTCGTTAGGGACTTGAGCAGGGGGGTGGAAATGCTTCTACGGAAGAGCTCTACTGTTATAATAACAAACTAGCCCGACCTTACCTTAGTTCTACGGGCTTCAACCTTGTCTTCAAGTAGCATCCCATCTTGTAAGTAGTTCCAGATGTTGGTCATCCATCCTTTATCCTCGATGTCGTTGACGTTGACGACCTTGGCATGCAGGCTGGGGGAGTTGATGGTTTCCTGAATGATGGTCTGATGTTGTCCAGGGTGCTTCATGCTGACCAGCTTGGACAAGAGATCGGCTTTGGCATTTTACTCCCGAGGAACGTGGTGTACTGTGAACTTCTCGAAGGAAGTCATCTGGTTGGATGTTTCATGGTAATACCGTTGTAGCAATGGGTCCTTGGTTTGATAGACGCTGCTAAGCTGCTCCACCATGAGCTTGGAGTCGCTGTTACATCTTACCTTTCGTGCCCCAATGTCTTGCGCCAACCTCAATCCTGCCAACAGCGCTTCATATTCGGCTTGGTTGTTGGTGGTTTTGAACCCAAATTTTAGAGACTGTTCAATGGTAATGTTGTTGGGGCCTTCTAGAATGATACCTGCACCACCTATTTTAGTGTTAGAAGATCCATCAACATGTAAGGTCCGGACCTGTTCATTATCGGCCAAGGCTGGGGTGAGCTCGGCCACGAAATCTGCCAGGCATTGGGCCTTTAGAGGGCCCCAGTTTTCATATCTGATCCCAAACTCGAACAACTCAACTGACCATGCTATCATGCGCCCGACGAGTTCTGGCTTTCTCAGTATTTGTTTGATCGGGTAGTCTATTTTTACTATGACTTGTTGACCTTGGAAGTAAGGTCGGAGACGTCAAGCCAAGGTGACTAGTGCTAAGGCCAATTTCTCAATTGTTTGGTATCTTTTTTCGGTGTCTTGGAGAACACGGCTGATGTAATATATGGGAGTTTGCTTCTTGTCACGTTCTTGTACCACCATGATGCTGATTGCGTTTTCAGCCACTTCCAAGTACAAGAAGAGGTCGGATTGATGATCGAACCTCTGCAGGATTGGTGGGGTTGCAAGGAAACTTTTGAAACTCTTGAAGGCTTCTTCACACTAGTTGGCCCATTCAAAAATTTTGGGTTTGCGTAGTAAGTTGAAGATGGGTCCTGCTCTTTCTGCCAACCTGGGTATGAAACGTGAGAGGGAGGCTAGTCTGCCTGCCAACCTCTAGATGTCTTTGACAGTTTGAGGGCTATGCATCTATATGACAGCTTCACACTTTTCAGGGTTGGCTTCAATTCCTCTGTTTGTGATCATAAATCCAAGAAAACATCCACCTTGGACTCCGAAAACACACTTCTCTAGGTTCAGGCGCATGTTATGTTTTCTAATTTGGCCGAACACCTCGGCAAAGTCGGCCACATGTGATTTAGCCGATGTGGTTTTAACGACCATATCGTCTACATACACTTCCATGATTCTCCCAATCTGCTGATGGAAGACCTTGTCCATTAATCGTTGATAAGTGGCCCCTGTGTTCTTGAGGCTGAAAGGCATTACGCGGTAGCAGAAGTTGGCCTGATCAGTAATGAAGGCCATATGCTCCTCGTCCAGGGGGTACATCATGATTTGATTGTACCTGGAGTATACGTCAAGGAAACTGAGGAGAGCATAGCTGAAAGCTCCATCTACCAACCTGTCAATGCTTGGTAAGGGATATGTGTCTTTTGGACAGACTTTGTTTAAGTCAGTGTAGTCGACGCACATCCGCCACTTTCCTGAGTTTTTTTTTTACAAGGACCACATTGGCTAGCCACGTGGTGTACCTTACCTCCCTGATGAAGCCCGCATTGATTAGCTTCTGAGTTTCAACGTTGATAGCATCTCGTCTTTCTCCTCCAACCTTCCTTTTGGGCCACTAGCTTGGCTTCTTTGTGGATCGCCAACCTGTGACAAATGAGTTTTGGATCTATACCTGGCATGTCAATGATGGCCACGCGAAGAGGTCGGCATTCTTGGAGATCTCATCCATGAGTTTCTTTTGCAGCTTAGGGTGCAATTGTTGGCTTATCTTTGTGCACTGCCCGGGTAATTGGCCGATTTGGAAGTCGACTAGGTCGTTAATGGGACTTGGTCGACTATCATTGGATTCTGATCTTGGATTGAGATCAGTGACCTCGGCTAGGGAGATATGATCCATGACAGGGGTGTTAAATTGGTGTTGTTCTTCGGCTGGGGGTGGCGATGTTTTCAGACTCTCGACGTAGCACTGCCGAGCTATTCTTTGATTTGCCTTGATGGAGATTATGTGTCCATTGCTTCCTGGGAACTTCATTGTCAAATGTGGGGTGGACACTATGGCACCGAGTTGGTTCAACGTTGGTCTGCCAATAATGATATTGTACGATGTATTGGCATCGACGAGGAGATATTTGACCATTGTTCTTTTTGAGTTAGGGGGTATCCCGAAGGTTGTCAGCAACTCTATGTAGCCACGAGTGTGAACTCATTCACCTGCAAAACCAACTAGGGGTTCTGTATGGGATTGGATAAGAGAATGAGAGATGTCTAACCTTAGAAACGTTGGCCAATATAAGACATCAGCCGAGCTCCCTTGGTCAATCAGTGTCTTGTAAACTTCCTAGTTGGCTACTTTTACCGCAATGACCATGGGATCATCTTGGTTTGGCCAGATGTCGACGTAGTCGTCATCCGTGAAGGTAATTGGCGATGTGCTACGCGACAGGGCCGAGGTGCTAACATGGACATTGTTGATGCTCCGTAGGTGTCTTTTGCGCGCCGAGCTGCTTGGGTCGCCTCCGACAAATCCACCTGCAATGGTATTAATGATTCCTCGTAGAGGAGGTGTTTCCGTGTTTTGACTTACCTCGGGTTGGCCTGCCCCGCCGTCATTCTGCCGAGACCCAGGAGGTTGGTTGGCTCGGATGTTGGGTCCCCGACATCGTCCACGCCCTCTACCTTGTGCCTAGTAGCTTCCCCTATGAGATTGGGACGTCTGGACATACTGGCTGAGGTGACCACCCTGGACAAGTTCTTCAATTCGGTCCCTGAACGATCGACATTCTTCAGTTGTATGACCGTAGTTCCAGTGGTATCGACAATGTTTTGTTCTATCAACATTGTTAGAACTGTGCCCAGGTGGTGGGAGAGTGATCAATTCGGTGTTGCTAGCTTCTTCTAGGATGTATACCCGAGGTGAATTCAAGGGAGTGTAAAAATCATACTTCCCACCTCTATCATGCCGAGGTCTCTTGAATTGGTTGCTGCTCAAGTTCCTCAACTTGTCCTTGTGACCTTGGTCTTGCTTACCTTGCATTTTTCCACGGATTGCCTCACGGAACTCGGCATGTTCTTCCATTTGGATATACCCAGCTGCGTGAGCTCGGAGCTCGTCCATATCGGGGGGAGGTCTTCGGCAAAGGCTGTCGATGAAAGGTCCTGGTTTCAATGCCATGAGCATGGAGTGCAAGGCAACTTCAGGATTGAGGTTGTGGATCTGGATGGACACATTGGCGAATCGCTCCATGAATTTCCTCAATGGCTCATCCTCGCCTTGTCTGAGGTTGGCCAGGGCAGCTGATGTGACGTGATGGGGCTGACTCGTCGCGTACTGTGTTGTGAATCGCCTTACCAAGGTCTCAAAATTTTCAATTGATCCCGTCGACAATTGAGTGTACCAAGTGAGTGTAGGGCCTTTCAAAGAGGTTGGGAAAACCCGACACATTAGGGCGTTGTCATTAGTGTACTGGTTCATTTGCGTGATGTACGCGTTAATGTGCTCATCTAGATCGGACGAGTTGTCGTAACGATCGATGTTTAGGGGCTTCCAACCTAAGGGGAGAGGTGTCTCCATGATTCCATCGATAAATGGGTGGCGTTTGACACCCAGCTGATGTGGGAAAGCCTGCATGTTTGCATGGCTGACCTCATGACCAGAGCGATGTGTTGGTGCATGTGATCGATGTGACATTGGCGGCGACGAAGGGGATTGGTGTTCCTCCTCATGGTCATTGTTTTGCTGAGGAGGTTGGCTAGGGGGTTGTTGGTGAAATTGGGAATGGATGTGCTCATTTTCTGCGTGTAGAGCCTCTAGGTCAGCTTGGTGCTGGGCATGCATGGCTTCGAGGGCTTCGGTATTTTGCCGCTGGATCTGCTCGATCTGCTCGACCAAGCGCCGAATTGTCGCGTCTCCTTCCATCCTTGGTACATTCTCCGTTGCTTCGTCTGTTACTCTTCTATTATGGCTTCGGGTAGAAACCATAAGATTGGCCGAAAAAGGGGAATTCTTTTCGGCCCCATGGTGGGCGCCAAGATTTTCTCACCTGAGATTGGATCGGTGACGATCTCTTTGATGAGATTGGTGAGCCTCCACTAGTTTGCAGGTTGTCCGCTCCAAGATGGAGGTGGTACCTGCAAAAGAGACTCCGATGCTAAAGTTAGTCTCTAATAGTGTAGATGTCTCGTATATATAGCAGGCGTACCTCGGTGATTTTAGGATTTTGACTGTCTACCGGCACATTGGCAATTTTAGGGTTTTACCTCGTGATTGCAGTGCGGTGATCAGATTGTAATTTTACTTGTCTGATGACATGGACTTTTTGGGCCGACGTGATGTCCTGATGTCTATGCTCCAAGGCTAAGCTGAGTAACTCGACAATAATGGGTTTATTACTTGGTCAGGTTGGTGATTCTTTGACCGAGTTGATAACTTGGTGGACGACAAGTTGGCAACTTGGCAAGGCTAGTACAATTAGTAAAATAAAAACTTGTCATCAAATATTTTGAGTTTGATTATTGCTTGTGTGTATATAAAGAGATAGTGGGATTGATGTATTTAACTCAAAAACAAAATAAATATAAACAAGAAAATTTGTACTTATAAACTTTTAACTGTGTGAAATTCATTTCAATTTTCTTTTTAAAAAAAATCATATTTTGTTTGGAATAAAATTGTACGTGCGCCGCCAGACTACAAATTGTACTTTACACAATTTTACGGAAAAATTAAACTTTAACATGCATCAACCCTTAAATCTTTGAGTTGCATATACATGTTAGCCGTGAAGAACTACAAGTGGCATGTGTAAAATGTAAAATGGAAAGTAAGAAGGCATTGAAAGGGTACAATGATATTCAGTAGTCCATTATCTATGTAACCCTTCAATTTAACTAGGTGTTACTTAATTAATAATACATATTATAGTTGGAATTAATTGTGCTTTAGTTATTGGATTGTTTTGCACAAAAAAAAAATATTATAAATAATTATTACTATTACGACAACCACTACTACTAGTATGAAAAAAGTTTCTTCTTACCTAATGAAAAAAAGTTAATTATTTTAGTAACAAAAACCCAAGTTGGTAGTTATTATTTATAAAGAGGGTTCTTACCTAATGTAATTTTTTCTTCTTTTATCATTAACTATATATTATAAAAAAAAAAGAATACAATATAGAAGTATAATTGTCTTTGAAAGTAGACATTAAAATGAGATATTCTCAATATATTATTATTATTATTATTATTATTATTATTATTATTATTATTATTATTATTATTATTATTATTATTATATAAGGAAATACACTTATTTGGTGTCCATTTTTTCAAAGACACCTACACCCCTTATTTTATATTAGAAAAAATAACTTTCTCGAAAAAAAAATTAACTTCTCATTTTATTAAAAATAACTATTTTTTTACACATCTTTTTTCTTGGAGACACTTAGTTCCTTTTTCACTACTAGTTATTATTTGATGTTTTTAATTATATATTAAAAATGCTATTGTAATTTTATATCTATAGTCACATACTATATATAAAAGATATATGAGGCTGTGCTTTCAATATCCACTTTTTAAAGACTATTTTACTCTTAAAACTACTTCAAACTATTAAATCTCTAATCACAAATCACCTACTGTCATTTAACTTCTATTATATTTTATAGGTACTTCTATATATATTATTTCCTTTCTTATTTTTAACTATATAATTTTTATTTTATTTTTTCTAAATCAATATACACGAGCATCAAGTCTCTTTATCACTATGATAAGATACTTACAATCTAAATGTCTTCATTTATATAAAAGAAACTATATTATAATACTTTTCTTTTCATCAATAAATGATGGAATCATGTCAAGGCCAAGAAGACCAAGAGGTGATACATTGAAGGACCCAAGAGGAATGGGTTAATTTTAAAGACCTTTCATATGATTGTATATATATAGTAGTTCTTTGTATAGGTTCATTTTTCCTTTGTATTTGTAAGACACTTTCTTTCTTTTCTTATAGGATATTCCTTTTAGATTTTGGGGTATGTTACTTAGAGACTTTTGCTCTATTTGACCTTGTATTAAGGGTCATTCATTTTTGTATTTTCAGTAGTAGAAGTGGGGTGACAAATAGTTAGGTGTGTAGGTGCAACTAGTAATTGGGCCAAAATTGGGCCTAGGCCAAATTTTACATATTAGGCTTGTTTTTCTCCATATTTTCCAAGGAATTGATTTAGCTAGGTCTCACCACCATTTGGTGAACCTAACTAAACCAATTCAAAATTTTTGGATTGGATTAAATATGGAAATTGGAGCCTTGGCTGCCTAGCCTTGTTCCTTGGCCGAATTCTTAGCTTGCCTTGCACACTTTGGAAGCTTATGCTACAAGCTTCTAACTTAGCTTGCTTCCCAAGCTTCTAAGTTAGAAGCTTGCTCCACAAGCCTCCTAAACCAACTAGGTCGGTCAAGTTAAGCTAACCATGGTTCTCTTGAAACATAGTTAGCCTAGCTTGCAACACAAGTTTCCCTACTCTATATAAGTCTTTCTTCTACCTTTGTAATCACTTTTGACATATGAGATTGAACTTCAGAACACTCTCCTCTTAAGAACATTCACAATGGAATCCTTCCTTTGTGCCTTGGTTCAACCTTTCTTCTTCTTCTTCAAGAAGAATCCGCACCTTAGTTGTTTCTATTTCAAGATTTGGAGCTTGAACTTTCATCCATGAACGTCCATTGAAGACCTCAAGAGAAGATTGGACAATGAAGATGGAGCTTGGAAGAGTACAACAATCACTCCTACAAGTGATTTCCATCATTTTTTGGTATCAGAGCCATGGTTGCTCTTGAGGTTATGTGTTCCTTTCTCTTCTAATCATTTTTGATCATCTATTGTCTATTTCTATGTCTTGTGTTGTTTCTTGATTAGATCTAATTTTTGTACATTATATTGATAAATCTATATGTCTCATTACTTGTTTGGTTCATTTCTTTGCTTGTTCCTTGATTCTTGAACCAAATCGTGGTGCTTATAGGATTCTTGTGCTTGTGAGTTTTGTTTTGTTTGAGTCCTTTCATTGTTCCTTAAACCCATGAGTAAACAATATTCATTAGCATGTGTTTTTGATTTTTAATCATTAAAGTTTTGTCTAGAAGTCATGTGTAGTCCTTTCACATGTCATAAATTTCTAGAATAGCTTATTGTACCTATTTTGTGTCAATATACTTGGTTCAGTTTTTTGTTCAATATTCTTGTGTGGCTGACCTAAATGTGCTTTTGAATTTCATTTTTGAGTTCATAGTTGCTATTAGTTCTAGCAAATTCATAGAGTTAGGTTTCTATGATGAAGTTTGTCAAGAAAATTGCCTAAACACTACTTGTTTCCTAGGTTCCTTTGTGCAATTGTTGTGGCTGAATCTTTTACATATTTTTAACCTTTTAAAACAGATAAAAATAGAGGTTCAAAGTGTCTTAAAAGTATAAGAAAAAAAAGGAAAAATGTGCTTGAATTTTATTAAAGATTTGTACAAATTTTGTGAAGCACTTGTGGACCTCTTGTTTGTGAAACATTTTGTGTAACTCTTTTCTCATTGAGATCGAGACCTATACATATTGTAAAAGGCATTAAAACTCCTGTTGTATAAAATAAAAAGAAGTAAGAATTTACAAAAAGAAAAACATAAGAAAGAACAAAAGAAAAAGCCAAAAGGAGTGAAATTTGTGAACAAAGTGCTCTCGGTTTTGTTGTATTTTTCATTATCAAAACTGTCCAACCATATACTCTTGTTAATTGCATCTTGTTTTATTTTCTAATCTTAGATTTTTTTTGTTAATTTACTCTAGTGCCATTAATAGGATTCATTTTGAAGTGCTTGCTTTCTTTTGTGCCTTAATTTTAGCTTGTCTTTCCTTGGCATGCTTTCTAGTTGTCTCATCTTGTTCACCACTTGGTGTAGCTTCCTTTAATTGTGTTATTTCAGTTTTTACCAAATTATTCCAGCAACTACTTGGTATGTTGATTGCTTCTTTGAAGGATTGGAAGGCCAAGACACAAGGGTAGCATCTTAGGATGTTTGTGGAGGCCTAGGGGATTGTTTTCTCCTTGTGTGGAAAGCTCTTGATGGAGATAAACACCTTGAAGTTAATCACCATCAAGATTACTTAAAAAATAAGAGTGAAACACTTGTGAGGGTTGCTGCAAAGCTTGATTGCTAGACTGGAATTAAAGGATTCAAAAAAATTTGAAAAAAAAAATTTGTGAAGGGAATTAGTGACCAAATTTAGAGACAGAAACTTTTGCTGTCACAAAATTTCCTTACCAAATCTGTCTCTTAATTTAGTCTCTAATTAGTGGCTGGTTTTGTTTTTCAAATTTCGTGCAGCCACTTTGTTTTAACTTCATTGTAATTTACATTTCATTTGTATACAAGGCCTTTAGGAGTGTCTTGGATGTGTCTTTGGTACATTTTTATCTGTCCTTAGTGTTTTTCCATAGGGTAAAACATTTAGTACATTGTGGGAGTGGTCCTTGAAAGCTTTTAATGCTTTTCAAGCTCCCACATAGGTTTATAGTTCTTCATGCCTATTTTATGTTTTCAGTCATTTAAGTTTCCGGTCCTTTAAGTTTTCCAGCTATTTAAGTTTTCCAGTCATTTACGTTTTCAAGCAATTTAAGATTTCCTTGCAATATACTAATTGTGACACTTAGGCACTTGTTTGTTATTTTCTCTTTTGGAAATTTTTTGTTAAAATTGTTTTGTGCAAGTGATAAATCATAATTTTCGTGCATTTTCTTACCTTTGTAACCCCCTATTAAGTATTATCAATGCTTAATTGTTTTCTCTTGCCATATTTTACTGTCTTAAGGTTTATTGGGCTATTAATTCAAAATTTTAGTTAATTGGATTTATTAT